CTCCATGTCAGGGCTGTAGACAGGTTTGACAAGAACTTAGTTGTCTAGGGCTGACCGTCTGTCATCACAGCAAAATCTTCTGGGTCGACATTTGAACTGTGAGGGATACTCGGTGACAGAGTTCACAAGGCAAAATGGCTTTGTGGCTTTTTCGCTTCTCACGCCCAACGACAATCAGCTACGGCGCTCTCTAAATGCAAATTAGAAGCTGGGCTCGCTGACCGAACAGTGGCACTCCACTGTGAGGCCGGCTGGGTGGGTGGGGACTGTTGAAAGTGTAGGTTCTGGCTGAATGTCATCAACTCACGTGGATCCTCAATCATCCTCGGCATTGAGCAGCCCTTGCAGCAGAATCGAGGTCCTTGTTCACAATACAAGACTGAAATCTGTATTTCTGACAGATACTGGCTGCCTCCAGTGGTGCCAAAAGTACAGACATCCGTCACTTACTGTAAGTAGAAGAACAGATACTTGTGGCAAAAAATACTCTAGTAAATGCTGAAGTACTGATTCATCTTCTTCACTCAGGTAAAATAAAAAAGCACAGTGAAATATGCTCATAGTGTAAAAATAAAAAATAGCTCTTTTGGGGATATTTCTAACAGCTGTTTTTGTACAGGGAACTAAACGTCATGACTTAATAATATAATAATAAAGTAATATTTATGCAAGTATATGAATATGAATGTGTGCAGCTTGAACACGTTGGACACTTTAGCCATCTAAAATCAACAAGATCTAAGAAGATGCTACATGAACTGAGATTTTCCGAACCAAGACGGTACAAAGCTAATAAAAAGTTGGAATTCAGTGAGTAAATCTCCCTCCTCTTCTCCATTCTAACTAATTTCATGCAACCCTTGAATAAAACAAAATTACAATATGCTACTTTGTTTTGTAGGACGTTTCACAATGACCTGAAAGAAAAAAGACAACTGAACAACATAAACTCTAAAATGAATGGTGACGTTTAGTATGTGACATGCAAACAACAGACACACAATAATTATAAATGATATTATATAAAAAATTATATAATGTCCAGTTTATCAGGTATCACTGAGCAGTCCTCACTTTGAAAAATAATCTACTTTGTTCCTCCCTTTGTCTCGTCTTCCTTACATTTTCCTCCATCTCCGAGCGAAGTTCTCTCACTTACAGAAGGGAGATACAGAAGCTGTGTGACAAAGTGCATCCAAACAGTGTGTTTGTTAATATTTGTTCAGCTGTTTGAGAGTTGCATTTGAAATGACCTGCCACTTTAAATCATTACTCCCTTTGTGCTCACTCGTTTTCTTTGCTGCTCGACAGACGCTTAAACGCTACAACCAAAATGTATCAGCATTGTTGCCTCCAACCCCTGAGTTGGAACAATAAATGATACATAAATTGTCTATCTTTGGCTCTCATTGTGTGATATTCTCTATTCTCTATTGTGGCTCCAAAATTATGGAATAATTTGCCCATGCACATTAGAGAGGCCCCTTCACTGTCCACTTTTAAATCACGTCTTAAAACCCACTTTTATTCCTTGGCTTTTAACCTCAGTGAGACTTAGTTTCTCTTTTAATTGAAGTAGTTATTTAATTAATGATTTCACTCTTCTTTTATTTGGTTTTTACTTATATCTCATGTAATTTTATTTTACAGTTCCAATGTACAGCACTTTGTGTCAGCTGTGGTTGTTTTAAAGTGCTTTATAAATAAAGTTGATGATGATGATGATGATGATAAGCACCATTGATGGATACACAAATAGGATTGTCTTTGATGCCTTATTGTTCCCTCTATTTAAGTTCAAATGTGATTGGATTTTTGAAGGCGTGCAGTAATGATAAATAATAACTCCCCTCAAGTACATTAAACCTAAAGTAACAAACCTGTTTGGAAAATGTAAAGATTAGAAAGTAGAGATATTTGTGTTAAACAGAGTAAAAGTAAAAGATTGTCAGAATCGAAATACTCAAGTAAAGTACAGATACCTGAAAATTCTTTTTAAGTACAGTAGCAAAGTATTCATCTACTTTATTACTTACTCTGGGTGTTGCCGGCTGAAAACTCAAAGCAAATGTTTGGTCTGTGCGAGGATTTTATGCACAAACAGCAATTTCTTGTTAAAGTTAATTAAGTGGTGCCACTATTGATCAGCTCCACAGTAAATAATTTATCAAACATTCCATAATGATGACATTTTCACCATTTTTCCTTCTATTTTTCCTTGAAGTAAAAGAAGGAAACACACTTTTGGGATGAACTGAATGTACAGAACAGTGAATGTGGTGACTTAATGAACGGCTCTGAAGTATTTTTGATGAGCGGATCGAAGCATCTCTACCAGTCTAACAGCTCAGTCTGCATGCGATGAACCATTGCCTGAAAGTGATAAAGGAATATATGGCATATGAACTGTGAAATGAATGCTTTGTCTGCCAGTTTCCCTGTGCACTGGGCTAAAAAATTATATGAAATTACTCATTTATCAGCTTCAGTTCAGATTACTGAGATTCACCAACTTCCTCGCTGTGCCAGTGTTATTATGTGAACTTTGGCGGAGCTAAATTATATCCTTATCTCCTCCTTTCTTGCTCTTAGATATAGATCAGCAGCCGTGATGATATTAGATTTTCTCTGCTCCTCAAAGGCTTTTCTTGCTTGTCTTTTAAAAGCTACTGCCTCTGTCACTTGCTTCTGTGGATTACTATAGAAGGACAGTTAACTGACTCATCAATATACACATGATTTTAGATTAAAATGTGATTAGAAATACAGACATTTTCAGTATTTGAAAGGGCTTCGATTGCTGTCATATAAAGCGTTTGGTATATCTATATGCAATGCTTTTTCTTCACAACTATTACACCCCATGTGATTTACTCCCTGTAGAAAAGAATTTGCTACACTGCTCATTACATTACTGGTAGGTTAATTTCCAAGATTCTCTGCAATGCATTGTGGTTTTCCAGTAAACTGTGTAATAATAAACGCTACATATGCCCACATATCAAATCCCTTGTTGTTGATGATGTTTCTTTTTCTGCCTTTAATGGCCATAATTTAAAAAAACAAATTGTTGGATAATGCAACATTATTTTGTAGTAATGTAAAGTAATTACGTTATTGTGTTTCTTCATCGTGCATTATGCCAACAGTTTTATTATTGGACATGAAATCTCTAAAGCAAATGGAAAGCAACACTTTCCGGATGAAAGTTTCACTTTGATGTCGACTTAGGAAGGGATCACAGTATGTTGCCATGATTTGAGAGATAAATCCTCTAGATAAATCATTACATCTGCTGTAGCTATTAATCAGGGCATCATCTTGATCTCATGTTTGCTTTTGTTCTTTTCTCTATTTTAGGTAAGTGCTGCCAGAAGCTTCGAGGAGGGGTGGGAAGGAAAAAGGAACTACTATACAGGTTATGTTCTGTTTCTATCAGTTTCCTAGTTTTTCTGCATATTGAGTGGTTATAATTCTGACACAATGAGCAAGATGACGATCCCCAAGCCTCTTGCTGGGACATAAGTGTATTTCCTGAGTTAAACATTTGGGTAGATTACGATTCAGTAGATTCAGTAGTCAGAAGTTCCATCATCATATTATCATATTGTCAGGGCAGACAGAACGGACTGAAGTGCAGACTCAGAAAGAGTTCAAAAGTTTATTTACAAAACCACAGTGCTGAATATATACGAGGTGCAGGGCAAAGGGTCCTGCACCTTGCCCTTCCTACCGGGGGTAGGAAGGGAAGGGAACAAAGTCCACGGTGCAATATATACAGGTGCGGGGAAGGGGGTTCAGGGCTCCAGGGGTAGGGAGGAAATCCACACACTCGCACACTCCTCTTCTTGCTCGCACACTCACTCTTCGTCTGCTGCTCACGCTCACGCTTTCCCACACTCCATGCCACTCAGACAGACAGGTACTTCAGAGCGGTTCGTGGACATGTCCAGGGAATTCAGGTAGCTCAACAATCTAGAGAAGCTCAGAGTCACCACCTTAAGTAGTGGCAGGAAACTAGGTCAGTGAGCAGCAGCTGGTGGTAAGCAGGCCAGGTGTGTGGGCCAAAGGCAGGAGCCCATAATGAGCTCCGCCCAGGTAGACAGGAGAGTGAGGAGAGAGAACGAGAAGAAAACAAAAACAACATGTGGCCTTGAGTGAGACAGCCGGAGAGACACAGGGACCACGACACATATTGATTTATTTAGTCACAATTAAACAATTTTGATTTTCATAGAAGAACTTTTCACATCCAGTACCTGAATGTAGCATTTGGCTTGACTGTGTGAGCTGCTGCACATTTCAGTTATGCTTGAAGGTGTCGATTTTCATCGGAGGCTGACAGTTTAGGTCTTTTTCCAGGGCTTGGCAAAGTGGTGACACATCAGAATAAGTTGTCCAGTTCTGTGAACTGATGATCCTGGAATCTGTAGTCATTTAGAAAAGGTGTCATCAAGTATCTGAAAAAGGCCTCCCAAAGCCGTTACCTCAATCCTTAATATTATGTGGACTATGCTTAGAAACTGCTTCTGTGCCAGGAAACCAACCAGTTTAAATGAACTCTACCAATTCTGCCAAGAAAACTAGTTAAATATCAGCCACAAGCTTGTTGCTGGCAACCAAAAGTGTCTGGTTGACATGAAACTAAGGGATATTAGATGGATTTTATGCATAGTTTTAGGGCTTTAGATATTGGCTAGACCCAATTCCTGTTTTTTAAAATCATTAACAATGTGTGCTGTACAATCATTTTACCCTGGAATGACTGTACAGCACATTTGCTTGTTCCTAGTAGTCCTAGATTTCACGTGGCAGGCAGATTTGAGCCATCATCGTCACTTTGAGGGGAATGGAAAATTAAACTGGATGTTCATCAGTTCTTCTATAATATGATATTCACATTTTGGCTCATAATTCCAAGACTGTGAAACTCATTACGTCTATATAATGTTTTTCATCATATTTGTTATTTTCTTGAATTCACATTATGTGAAAATACTGTTTTACGGAAGTGGGTGGTGATAAACATTACTGTGCAGCTCGAATAATGCGGTAAAATGTCATCAGCTATCGCTCCAAATAAAAGAGGAAATTTGTAAAGTGAAAAGGTCACTTTTAAAAGGTGCGTGCTGACTTAAGGCAGCGCTTTTAAAGGTTGTGTTTAGAATTGAAGAATCTTAACGAGAAGTCAAAATAATTATCAATTTTAAAGCAAAAAAAAAAAGTTACATTTTGACTCAGGTTTATCTAGCCATGGAATTATCACTTTCATCTGCTGTCCTTTATATTAGAGCTTCTTAGGAACAATCTAGCACCTCTATTTCCATAAATTTTGATCATGAAGTGAACCATTTGGCCCTAATTTATAGCAAGACACTTAGTGCTGGATATACATTGTAACATAGCTTGATTCTGCATAGATGGAAGTGGAGAGCTCTGTGAGTAATCTGCTCAATCTGCAAACAGCCACGAGCGTACACTGCAATCCAGTAATGACCAATGCAGTCTGGAAATTAACAGGTCAAAAACAAGCAGACCAGATGAGGGAGCGGGTAATCTATTACAAAGGAACTGCACAGTTAAAGTCCATGGTTTATGCAGGTGTTTGCCTTCAGTAACGGCATGGAAATTCAGAACAACGAGAGACAGCTGAAGGAGAACTGGTATCTTTTTGATATAAAGGGTGAACTCGTCTGTCAGATCTTGCTGGGGAGTGTGTGGATAAATGTGTGATCTGTTGATAAATCTGACAGCTCAGGTGGAGCGCAGGATTCATCCAGAGGGAGGGTTCCTGTATATCAAACTATTCTGTATAGGCCTAAAATCTGTTTGTAACAGCTTCAGAAAAAGAACACAAAGCATTATTTACCGTCAGATCCTGGTCCGACCCTGCATTAATGATGTTGCTGTCACTGTGCCACATAGATAAATACGGACATTGCTTTAGTGTTTTCTCCCTGCTACGCGAGGCAGACTTATTTTACAGCTCAAACATTAGTCTTAAAATCACTTCAGATCTGTCTGCGTCTTGTTAATTACTGTATTTTGGCACACATTTCAATATGGTATGGTGGAGACTTCAAATTTATAAACAGCCAAGTGGGCATTTTATTAAATGAAGACATGATTTTAAGCTCCGGAAGTGTTATAATGGAGACAGAGCAAGGTGAAGGACTCTGAGTTCCTTTTTAGTTAAACATGAACAACTAATTTAACATGTGCTTGGTTAGATATTAGATATATGCAAGGATTGAAAACAGTCACATTCAAAAAAAAAATGTAGCGTTTATACTTGATTTGAGCGTTTTTGCAAGTAATTTTGGTTCATAAAGATTGCTGTTATTTCATTCACGCTAAGGAACATAGTCGTTACAGGTGATGGATTTGATTTTTGTCTCTGCTTTGGAAAATGAAAAATTGCCCCCTGCGTTAGTGATTTTGCTGTCACTTTTGTTAAGTATGTGAGTAATTTTGTAATGCCACTTGGCCCACCCCCATCCCACGAGGTAATTTGTTCCTCAGAATTGTTGGCTGTTGCAATTCAGGCTGAACTCGGCTCCAATACTTTGCCGGAGCGAGGTGAAGAGGCCTTGTGATAAGTGTTTGTCTGCTGGCTGCTGGTAGAAGTGAGTGTGAAGTGTCTTTGCGTTGCCGTCGTCCATAACAAGTCCTCTCAAATTCACTAAAACCTTCAAATGTAACTTTCTGAAGGACACGGATTCAAGTGGAACCAAGCTTCATCACTCAGCCTGCTGACTTGTTTAGCTCGGGAGAGATTTGTGCAGATTGTTGACATTCTTCATCATCTTTTGTACAGCTTATACCATTACTGTCATAATGTGGACTATTAAGACTCCAGCTTCGGTAAATAGATGCCTAACCTTCAGCACTTTCATGAAGAGTCACTGCCGAGCAAACAGCCAGACATCAGGCAGAGAGGTTGTTGCGTTCACATTTACTTTGTATCACCATGAATATGCTGTGTCTGACACTTGGCAAGTCAGCGAGGTGATGACAATAGGGAAAAGAGCTGTCACTGAATCATCTGAAGCTCGACCACGCTGCCATTAGAAGACCCTGATCTTTATGTCTACCTTTGTGGCCTTGCAAGAAAATTTACCACAGTTAGCAAATGTTAGCAAGAAGTCAGAAAAATGGGGATAAAATCAAACCCTAACTCCAAAGTTCTCTCAGCTGCTTTTTAAATGAGGGAAATAAAGACTTTTACACATCACATAATATGCATGTCTGTTAATATAAGCTTTATGTCCCGTTACATTCATGCCGAATGAGCTGCTACAGTATGCTTTTTGTCTGACAAATTGAGTTCATTATTTCATTCCCTAGCACTGTCATATTTTAAATCTATTTTTAATACTGTCAATTGGATGACAGCTTATATTCTAATCTGCTCCTTAGATCTTGATATGCATACGAACAATCAGATATAATTATCAAAACTGACTCTCAAATGAAACGTAATAAGTTTTGATGAAATGGGAGCATTTCAAAATTCTGACAGCAGTAAATTAAGATTGAGTGATGAAAGCACAAACATCCTGTTTCCCAAGTGTCAATGTCATGTGTTTTTTTCCTGAGTTTATTAATACCGATGGTGAGTTTCTCTTTTAATTTCATTGAAAGTTATTTATCTGACAAATTATGATGAGCAGCAACCGTCCGCATTGAATCTTAATACCCACATAGACTCCACACTGTTGGTTGATTATTGACAGCAGGCTGTCACTTAATATGCACATCATACAATCATATTAGATAGCAAAGCAGTCAAATGTGGCAAATGGCATCATTAAGACGTGGAGTTAAATATAATACTTTTTATCAAGATTTAAGTCAGTTATAATTTCCTCATACAAAGCTTATTATATCCCACATCTAATGGGCGTTTGCAGTCTTCTCAACTCCACCGGTAGTAATATTAACTCTGTGAATAGTTCCCAATCTCTGCCAGTTATTATCCCTGTGTGCTCACTCTGTGTATTTCTTCAACTGTGCTACCTCTCATGGCGTGGAGACTGGCCAGGGTTTTCAAATGCACTTTTCCCAGTATGTGACGGGAGAAACATTTGATGTACCAGGGTGTTGCCCAAACTTGTCAGGTTTAAAAGTAACTTGTGGTTTGGAAGTAGTGTTACTAACTTCAGCAGTCTTAAATGATCAATAAAAACATGGAGTAGTGTAAAAATCTTACACATTCTGCTGTTAAAACAAGAAAATGTGAGCTGACACTGGCAGACATTCTTTGATTATGTTTTTCATAGACCTAATAACTGAACATTGTGTTGTCTGGACATACATATTTGCAGATTTGGCAAATTTTACGATTGAAATCTGTGTATTTTGTTTTTCTCTTGGTGCACCATGGGTATAATGCACACAATTAGAATGGTTCCCCCT